TGTTAGTAGTTGTGATAGTTGCGCTGATAGGCAGAAAAGTGCAGAAATAATCGAATATTTTGAATAGACGCACCTACATTCAAAAAGGACTAATCCCCTTCCGGTAGGATGGAAAGGCGCTTGACGCACCGATAGTGTAAACAGCCTAATGGAAAGTTTTCTTCAAATACCCATGTCTCCAGCAATGCCCGCATTAAAAATGAAAACGCACCCGGTTTTTGTTTTTTGTTTATTTGGAATTACTTAATTCCATATCAACATAATATTTTTATTGAATTCAGTAAAATTTTTCAAACATGTTTCTCATTTTTCGTTACTCGTACACATCGTTTCATTTTGGTTTTTCATCATCTTCAATGTTTTATGCAGCATTTTCTTGTTGTTCTTTCCCTTCTTGTTTGTTGATGTTCATTTACTTGTTCTTGTAAGTTCTTTTTAATATTACAGCTTATGTTTTTTTTATTGTTTTTTTTTTTTTCATTTAATATTTATATTTTTATAGTTAAACTTAAATAATACAAAAAGCAGTGTTTGTTTTTCATCATCTTGTTACACACATTTTTTAGTTTTACTATGATTTTTATGAAGGATTTTTTGTTTTGTCTGTTTTTTTTGTTCATTTATATTTTTAATTTTTTTTAAACCTAAATTAAAGCAATCTGTTAGGTTTTTCTTGGTTTTCATTTTGAATTGAATTTCAAAAGTATACTAAAGGTAGTTTTTGTTTTATTGTAAGACATCTGCGCGGGTGGAGAAATTTCCATTTCTTGAATTAAAATATAATTGTATCTGGTTGCTTCGTTAATAATAAAGTAGTTCCTACTAGGTATTCTCACTAGGTAATTTATCAAGAACTAAATTTGTTAAGCGGCTGTTAAGCCAGTTTTAGCGCGATTTTCTTTTTGTTTTAAACAAATCTCCTCTGTGGGCTGTGGTTGTTCTTCAAATTGTGGTTTGAAATTTCGGTTGTTCTGATTTTCGGTTGGTTTAATCAAAAATCAAAAACTGTAATCGTACTTAGATGTAATTTTACATTGTTTCTTCATTTCATTTACGATTTACGATTTATGTATATAACATTTCTCATATATTTATATGTATATATATCTTTATGTTATATTTGCCTTAGTTCTAGATAGCTTAATTTTAAATACACCATGTTTTGTATTCATTTTGCAATCCTTCATTCCATCCATTTGTTTTATATTATTTTTTATCATGTTTTCTAATGCTGCTAATTTTGCCATAATATTTGTTTTTGTGTAGTTGCTAAAACCAAATGCAAATGCAAATGAAGTCAACATATTGTTGTAAACAATTATATATTTTATATATATTTATATATATATATATTTATTTTACTACACATTTCGTTTTTCTATATGCGCCGCAGTGTGTTGCACCATTCTGTGAGAGATCCCTTGAACTGAAGACCCGAAAAATGTGCAAACCTTACGATCTGGCTACTCTCGGAACACGCATGACTGGATCCCCAGGGTCCAGTCGAGAAGGAATTGGAATTGCGGCCTGACTTTTGGTTTTTCTTTTCTTCTTTTTTGTTTTTTTTTCTTCGTGTTTTTTTTGTCATTTTCTTTCAGCGAAGGTCGAACAAGAATTTGTCTATATATGATTTTAGGTGAAGTTATTCAAACTATCGTTAAAAACTTGTGTGAAAAATGTTGAACATTTATTGTTGTTGCCCTTTGGTGTTTTTTGATCGCAGTTTGTCGGTTTACACACAAAAAATGTCGTTCTTTTGTTGGCTTTCTTTTTGGTTTTAGTTTTTTTATATTTTTATTTTTACATCTTGGTGTAAAAAATGGCAGTTTATATATATGCTTGTTAAATATAATTCATTTAAATTGTGTGCTAGTAGTTGCCGCCTATCGATGTGAGCAAAGTCTGCAAAGGGTTTGTTTTCACATTCTTCCCCCAATTTGGGCTTGGATCTGGATTTGGATGTGGATCCGAAACATTTTCCCTGGCAATTGCCGGACAGGATAGCTGGAACTGAACGAAAGAAGAACGTCGTTTCGAAAAATTTTCAAGCCAATTTATTAAGCTAGAGGGTCAAACATTTACTTGGCAGTTTTTCATCTTTTTTCATGTACTTATATTTTGGTTTTGTTCGTTTTGTTACTATTATTATAATTTTATAAGTTGTATTTTCTTTTATTACCCTAGATAACCTATTAATATTTATCGGCGGTTTTGGGAACACACTTTGCCGGGGACAACAAAACCAGAGAAAGAAAATCAATCGTATCGTCTTCAAGTCAAATTTTGTGCGTGAAATTCTTCTAAAAAAAACTAAGGATCGCATAGCTATGGGGGGCCTTTAAATACAATACAATACAATACAATACAATATATATGCTCGTATATCTTTAATTGAAGCTCTGTCTGCAATTGCCGGGTATTGAATGTGAATAGTATACGGTGAAAGATCGATCTCCCAACAGGAATCTGTTGTGTGTGTGTGTTGAGTGACAACCTCTGCTGCTGGCGTTTGATTAGACTACTTAACTAATTATCTTCATTTTCATTTTCTTTTTCATTTTCATTTTCGTTTTTCATAATTTATTTAGCTTAGTCATAGGAAAACATGCACTAGCAAAAATTTTAGAAAACTATTTATTTTTGGTTTGTTATATGTTTAAACAATTTTGCGTGTCGTCGTTTTTTGTTTTTTTTGTTTTTAAGAATTTCGTTAAAAATATATACTTTTAATAACTAAAACAAATGGGTTTTTGCCAATGAAATGCACTTTACCAGAACCAGAGAGGAACGAATTGGAAACTTTGGAAGTTCTTGGGAATTAATTGGAAATGGAAAATTGTTAAAAGCTGAATGTTTTCCGTCTCTAGTTCGTTTTGAGGCATAATTTTTTGGTATTTTATTTGTTGCAATTTCTTAAGCCGCTTTCATTTACATTTCAAGTTCTTTGATGAAAGTAGAGGCTAATACATCGTTTGTCCACCCTTTTAATAATACATATATTTTAAATATATATTTATGTATAACATTTCCCATTAAACTATTATTTATTGATTTCTCTTCGGCATTCATCGTGTACTTGTTCGGCCTGGCATTTTATCGGATAAACTGCCTTGACATCCTACCTCCTGCCTCCTGCCTTCTGCCTGCCTGCCCTTCGTCTTCTGCTTAGAAATTACACTAGTTAAAGTGGATGGAAAAAGGGGGTTAGTTTATTAAGCTTTTGGTATGCCATTAAGAGTGTTGTTTTGTTTTGTTTGGTTTTTTTTTAATGGTTTTTCTTTTACTTATTTGGGAAAATAGAGCGCGTTTGGTTAGCAAGTTAGTTGAGGCCTACACACATATTTCTTTTATTCATTTCGAGTCGACTGTTCGGTCCGGCTGTAAATCAAGAGTAGAGTGTTTTCTGTTTTCTGTTTTCTGTGGGTTGGTTTTGAGGTGTTCTGAAATGCGATTTCGCTGTCATTTCTCAAGTCAAGTCCGAAAGAAAGGGCGCCTCGCCTCGCCTCCCCTAGCATCATCCTACTATGCTTGTGCCCTCAGCTGTAAAACATATCATGGAGATGGAAACGGTTTTGGTTTTTTATTTAGTTTGAATTAAGTTTCGTTTTTATTATTATTTCTGGGTTTTTGGTTTTGCTTTTTGGTTGTTGTATACATAATATATTTTAATTTTATATGCTCTTCATTGTTATTGTAACCAGTTACTCTGTACTTTACTTTTTCAGCTATTTCTCGTTTATCTGTTTTTCTTTTGTTTGCCTCAATAATCCTCTGTCTTCTATGCAATTTTCACATTCATGATCTTGGGTTTGGTTTTGTTTTTCCTTGTTGTTTTTTTGTTTGTTTTTTTTTTCAATAATAGGTGAAGAGTATTAATTTTAAATATGTCTTGGTTTTTGCCATTCATTTATGCATTTTTCTTTTGGTTGCTTTAATTTATGTATGGTTTATTAACTATGCCGCGCCTGGGTTGCAGTTTGCTCTTATTATTCACGGGGTTTCCTTTTATATTTGTTTATTTAAAAATCTACACCTTATGTATGTTCGGGTTTGCCTCATAAATTTCGTATTTAAACAATTGTTCGCCTTTGCTATTTGTTCATGTGGTGGTGGATGCGAATGCCAATGCGGTTGCCCTGCTTAAATTTAAAACGAATTTAAAGTTTAAAGAAATTATATTCGGTTTGGGTTGGTTTGGTGGATGGGTCAATGGGGACTGACTCTTGCTCTTTAAGTATATATGTCTTCCAATTGTACAATTTGTATATATATAGTGTATATATATATATTTAATTGTTATAAATATAAATAATGGTTTTTATGCATTTTTGTTTAAATAAGTTTATTTTGTTTTTCCTTTTGGTTTCTTTTAAGTACAGTTGCTGCTCTGCGTTTTTTTTTAGTTTCGCTGTTTGTCGTTTATTTGTTGTTTCCTTTTGTTTTTGTTTTTTTGTTTTGTTTTTTTTTTTTTGTTAAAAATTACACCAAAAAACCAAGAAGAATTTGTTAACAACAATTTTTTATTTTTAATTAAGTTTACGCTTCCGTGTTTTCTTGTCATTATTTATCAATGATAATAGAATATTTGCGCTAAATTATGTGGCCTGCCAATTATTTTGTTTTTCGCTTTTCCGTTTTCTTTGCCTAAATTGTTAACTAAATAAAAATTGTCCTAACAAATTAAGGGTTTTTCCTTTTGTATTCGTGTGTTTGGTGTATCTGTGTGTGTGGCTGTGTGGGTGTGTGTGGGGCGTTCATTTTTGTTAGCGTTGGGTAGGTTTTTTTTATCTTTTTTGGTTTTGCTTTTCTTTTAGCGCTAGGTTTTTGTATTTCTTTTATTTTAGGGCTTTTCTTTTCTTCTTGTAGCATTTTTTAGTGTTCTCTTTGGTTGTTGCTGTACTTGTTAAACTTTTCGCTTACGCTTTGCTGCTACATTGCTCTCTCTTTTCATGCTTTTTCGTTTTCGTTTTCATTTTCTTTTTTTCATTATCATTTTCTTTTGCTTTTGCTTTTGCTTTGTGTGTGTGTGTGTGGTTTGTTGTTCTTGTTGCTTCTATTTCTCCTTCTTAAACACTCTCCTCCCTTCTCCTTGTTCGCTTTCCTTCGCTGCTTTCTCCGCCGCTGCTGCTCCAAGATGATTAACGCTTCTCTTAGTCGACCATCAACTCGAAATGAACGGATCCTCTCCTGTCCGAGCGATCGTGGTTGATGTTGCGGGCCCAGGCTTTGCACTCAATGTTGATCAAGACGCCGGCTGCAAGCAGAGAGAGGGGGAGAGAGGTAAGGAGGGGATGTATTAGTTGGATTATTTAGTTACATATACTACATATTATATTAGGAATCTCTGCTGCATAATATCAGAAAATAAATAGAGAAACAATAAAGCCTGTTCCTCAAACTGTGCCTCAAACTTTTCCCCCATTTTGTAGTATTCTAAATAATCTCATTATTTTTCGTTGAATGCAAATTATGTTCAATCTTTTGCATATTATATGTATTATATTATACAAGGGTGTATTGTACGGATACTGTACATTATTTTTGCACAAATAAGAGCCGAGGAGCCCTTTTTTATCGTATATCCCTTTCAGCATTGTCCGCTGGCATCCTTTGCCCCTTCCTTTTTCCACTGGGACTTTGGGTAAATTGAAAATCTTCTGTAGCTCTCTTTATGGTTCCCTTCGCTGCTTGGTCCAGGGCGTTATTATCTCATTTTGAATGCAGAGAGTGCCAGAGGAGAGGAGGCCGCCACTGGCTGTTACTCGAGCGGAAACGGAAGTGTTGCCGCTGCCATCAAGTGACAGAAGACGAGATAAATTGTATGCACAGGCGAGGGGGAACAATGTAATAAGAAGCTAAAGCTTTCCTAAGGATTCCGCTCGAAATTAAAGTGTGGAAAAAGTAAGGAAACTTTTTATGGCTACAGCTATTGCAGCGGAAAACGAAATGGTGGCTTAAGTTACACAATCAAATGCACATAGAACCCTCTATAAGTACATGGAAAATCACTCCAGCATTTATTTCCACAAACAAAAGATTTCCATAATATTTTTCTAGTTTTTGCGCATATAAATGGCGCCTATTCATGGCTCTACTATCTGCCATTCCAGCTGTCATTATTCAAATATACGATGCACACACTCACATTCGACTCGACTCCTGTGAAAAGTTCAATCCTTGCGCCCGCACACAATTTACATTATAAAACTTTTTCCATTTTCTCTCTCCCTGTGTGTGTGTGTGTGCAGTTTTTTTATTTTGTAACTTTTCTTCCTTTTTTATTTTGCTATATAAAGACCCGAGTGCGCCTCCATTTCGAGGACCACGCCCAACGCCCCCTGCTGACTGGTACACATGCAAGGCAATTTTCCGCTTACATAACTAATTTAATATTGAATTTCACATTTGCAAAATTGTAGGCCGCAATGCGACGAAGGCAATGTGCCTCCAAATGGGCGGGAAGTAGGAAAATAGGACATGAATAGCGTGGGGTAATTGAAAGAACTAAATGAAAATACACTTAAGGTTGTCCGCCCCGTTTCGTTGCACAATTTTCCTTGTAGGACACTCATACGCACTGGTGGCTCCACTGGTTAGCAGTTCCATCTTCAATTATTCGTAGCCCATTTCCCGACGCATTCCATAAGCGGATTAATGGCTTAGAAATTGTTTGTTTGTATTGAAAACAAAAGGAAAACGAGGGAAACGCTTTTCTTTCCCTACGCATTTCTATGCATTCCTATTCGCATTTCCATCTCCATTTCCATTCCCCATTTGATATGCTTCCGTCTATTTTTTCTGCTACGAATACACGAGCATGTACCTACTCCTTTGCCACAGACAAAGGCATTATTAATGTTTATTGTGCCGTAAAATTGGGTTCTGTGTGCCAGGAGTTCCGTAGGGACGACGACAGTCCGCAGTGGGTCTTCTCCGCCTGAGTTTGATTAAAATTCCAAACACTTTTGCCCCATTTTTCATGCTGTATGGATTGTGGCTTGGTTTTGTTTGCAGCTCCTTTCCGTTGCCTTTCAGTGCTCGAAGGGCCCCGTCCTACCTTCGGAGGAATACCATATTTTCACTATAATGTTTACTTAGCCGGCGTTTACTGCTGTCAATTAGTTTTAATTAATGGCCTTTCTCATTAGTTGGCTTTAATCAGCCGGACAAGGTAATAGAATCCCATTTCTTTACCCACTTAAGCATAATGAATGGCTCTCTGGTGTGGGAACTGAGTTTCACGCAGAAGCATATCATTTAACGATGATTCTGCGAAAAAGTCCTCTCTTTAATTATGACCAGAAATTGCTTACTTTTTGGCTAAGGCGGCTATCTGACGGGAAAGTAAGTGCTCTTTACACCACAAAGTAAAATGGCTTCACAAATACCCACTTAAGTAAGCACTGATCAAGAAGCTGCCCGTTCCATAATTTAGAATATTTAAAAAGCGATAAACGATAAGGGAAGAAAGTAATGGATACACAATAAAGATCCAAAAAACGATTTATGCCTTTGCTAAATTGATTTCGATGATCCTAGACACAAATATCTGCACAATCCCTCTTTTAAGAACCGAAGACCCAAAATGGAAAATGGAAAATTGTACTTACTTTCGACAGTAAACTGTACAGCGACAATTGGCGGTATGTAGCCGTTAATATTTTTGAAGGGGAAATAGAAACGTGGGAAACCCATGCGTGGATAGTAATCGCGAGCCTTAATGTTCTCAACATCGGCGGGATTTTCACCCTCGCAGGACACCCAAACGACGCCAGTCTGAAAATCAGATACAGGAAGAGATATTATCCATCGAGCGGAATAAATATTTTCTGCCTATAAATAAATTTCACCTCATTTGGTCGCAGCTGTTGCTTCTCCTTGATGTGCTGCTTCAACTCATCGGGCATGTGGTTGGGCAAAGTTTTTGAGTCGTTGTAAATCTCTGGTATCCAGTTGTAAATCTAAAATGGAGCAAAAGTGGGAACACCTTTAAGATCTGTAAATATTTGGGATATGGCAGTGTCCATACCTTATTCAACTTGAGGAATATGCAGGGCCGGGCCACATGATAGCCAAAGTTATTCTCAATTGTGCAGGGAGCAAAGCTGGAGGCCTCGACACCGCACACCTTGCCCTCTGGTGGGGGATGCTCGAAGGAGCAGTTCACATGGTTCTGTTTATCCTCGTCCTCGTAAGCTAAGGAATACATGCAGTATGTTGTTATACAGTGCCGTGAAAGGGGATATAAACTGGGGTCCTGGCATACTTTTCGAGCAAAAATAGCAACATTTTACTGGATCAAAAGAGAATTTCACTTACTGTGATCTTTTATCGGTTACCAAAAATCAAAATATTGAAAATATTAAGGTTAAACATCGACAAAAACTTAACATATGGGATACTGAAATTGGGTTTCCCCGAGCAATCAAAAACTTATGGTTTCATGTTTATTTTGCTTTCTGTATTTCTTTTGAAGGAAAAGACCAGTTCTTGTCCCTCCAACGAACAATTAGTAAGTTTTCTGGGTTAAAGTTTTCGCCCAGGGGCGGGCGCCTACTTACATTTCAGAAATCGTGCAGTTTCATCGACCCAGTACTGGTAGTTGTCCTTCTTCGATGACTCGTACCAGACTAAAGTGCTCTCAACATTCGCCTCTGGGGGCATTGGTCGGAAGCCAAGACCTAAGCGAAAGGGAAACGAAATAAAAAGAGTTCTTGTGATTAAATGAAAATCCAATTGACTTGCTGTCTCTCTCCCATCAACAGCGGTCTTTTATTCGCTTCACATCCAATTAGTTAATTAAATTTGGGTATTTTATTTAGTTCTTAACTACGGTTTTAGTCGAAGGCTCATTGAAATTCCAGATGCGTGTATAACCGCACACATGTGCGGTGGATATACACAATACATATACATATATTGTGTATACCAGATATATAATATGTATATCTATATTATATATGGGTGTGCCCTTGGGGCGCGGCCTATCCATCCATCTGCGTTGGAACGTGTCTGCGTCGATTATAATTCGTATAAGGATGGGTGGATAAAAGGGCGTATGTTTGATTTATTTAAACGAAATTTGTTTGCCTTCACGCCAGAGAATTTCAATGAGTTTATCCATTGTTTGGCGAGCCTTTATCATATGTTAGTTATGGCCTTGTTGGGGGTTTCTTCTTTCGGTTGTGTACTAACCTGGATTGGATCCAATCAAACCATTGTCGAGCATCCATTTGGGCTTCTCACTGTCCAACGTTTGATAGAACACCGTAAATATGGCAGCAAAGAATCCAGTTAACGCCGCATAAAATATTATGTAGAATAGTAGAATTTTTGCTATAAAGAGAGAACACACAGAAAAACAAAATTAGCTAAGGAGCATCAGCTGTTTGGAACATCAATCAAAAGGCTAGGGTTTGACCTCCTCCCCGCCCAAAAAATTATCCTACGACTATGGAATAAATCATTATGATGGCCAACGGAGTGGAGGCCGCGCAAAAAAAGTAATTAAGTTGTTTTTATGTTCACAAAATTGTGGCATACTTTGAAGGCGCCACGCCGCGTGTGCATGTGCCCCAAGTAATTTATATGCTAAACACAACAGAAATGGGAATTCGAGCGCGGCGAGGCGACCAAGGGAGCGTTCTTTTCCTTCTAATTAAAATTTAATGACAGCGCAGCCAGCAGCCTGGATGTCTCTTTAAAACTTTAATGTGTGTGTCACTGATACATATATGTACAGATATGTGGGATGTATCTGTGTGTCTCTCTGCGTTAAGCTCTGCATATTTGATGTGCTTTTATTGCCCACAAAATGTCTTTCGCAATTAGGAGCACAGTTGCAGTGGAAATATAAAGCAGGAGGCAGTGGAAAATTGCGTGGAAAAATTTTTTTAAATTATTGGAGTAATTTTAATTAAATTTATTTTTGTTTCTGTCTTTATTCCGTATTTATCTTCAACATTATAGCCACTGCTGTGTGATTTCCCTCTAAATTTTTTCATAATAAAACATGTTTGTAATAAATACTTTAAATATGTGTGCTCTAAAACGCTTAAATGCCGGCCATATTGCATAATCAAGCTTGTGTAACTCCGCCTGGAACTTAGTTATATGCTAAGCCAGCTTAAACAGGTCTTAAGCTTAACAACAACTAAGTTCCTAAGCCACAGGCACAACCACAGCCACATACACGCAGATACTGCCTACACCATTTACGAGGCTGCGCCCAAAAAATGCCAAACAGAACAGAAATTGCGAGCTGCGCCTAAAAGATGCCACACTGAAATTCGCCTGCAGCTCTTAATAGGCAACAAATCAGCAGAGGAAAAGCCACTTGGCTTTTCGCCGAGTACGAAGTGTATACGTATAATACCATGTCTGGGGATTGTGTAACCAACCAGCAAACAGTAGTACATAAACACACACACAGCTGCAAGTATATATGTGTGTGTTTATATACCATCCACAAATACATTTATGCCTGAGCATAAAAGGAAAATTGTTTGCTTCTGCGATTCTGTGGCGAAAGTTTTTCTGCTTTTATGACTATTTTTGTCAACGCCTTGAATGCTTCTCCTTTAGCCCACCGAAAAGGCACACACACACAGAAACAGAGGGAGAGCCAGGAGACAAGCACAGCGGATGGCTAACAGCTTTTCTAATGGTTACACTTAGTTATATGTACGAGTATTCTGTATCAAATGGAGGACTTTTGATTACAATTTCCTTCTCGTTTTCCTCACTCTCCCTCTCTCCCATACCGCTGCTGTTTGCTCTGTTTACTGCTGCTGTTGATACTGGAAATAGCTATTGTCCTTGCCACGCCTTCATTGTAATGGGATTGGTGGGAATTTAATGTGTGTGAATGGCAGCAATATCATTTGTGCGGCAATCTGTTCAAATTTCTTATATAAATTGCATTTAAAATTTGATTTTTGGCAAAAAAATGAAAAAATCGAAGAGAAAAATCTTTGAAAAAATACTACAAATATTTTTCCTTTTAGAAAGTTTCCTAAGATGTAATTTATGTTAAAATATATTCTTTACTTTCTTTAAATATTTCACAATTTCTTTGATTCGAAATTCCATTTCAGAACATCCTCCGCTTTTAGCCCTTTCGAGGCCTTTGTGGCTTTTAATGCACTTTTCCCTAGCACGGGCTTGCTGGTCAGACTTTGGAATGTCAGAACTTTCCGCCATTGCACCCACATCCTGGCACATCCTGTCAAAAGCCGCAGAATTTTTCGCCCCCGTCTGTCACATTTTATGACTATTGTGACGGACCTTTTGTTGCCAGAATTCCATTCCTCTGGTTGAAATTTAATCGAGTTTTATTTCATTAAAGTTCAATTAGAAACTTTTGCGCAAAAATATCAGATAGAAGAGTCAGAGCGTCGGGGCTTTGGGGCGCCAGAGCAGATTCGTTCGTGCACCTGACACCGAAAGGCGGCAGCTAATGAGAAAAGTTCGAATTTCGCTGGCAGGTGGAATGCGGGAGAGAGATTCGGAAACTGGTACTCAAATGTTTTGTGGGGAAAGTTTTTATTCAAAAATTTTACTCATTTTGCGGCAGAGCGTCCAATTATCTCTGGAGGATATTAGTATTAAAACTAAAGGCACCTCACAGAGGTAAACTGTTCTCTGGGCCTTCCTGGCTACATCCTTAATTACATCTTAGTTTTCATTAACTTCTGGTTTCCAGGAACCTGTCCCCAACCTTCAAAAGCAATTAGGGCCAATCCCGGCAATCCGCGAAGAAAGGTAAAGGGCATCTGGAAAGTTCTTGGCTAATTGGCAAAACGAAGGATGGATGGATTTAGTATATGGGAAATGATAAAAGACAGCTGCAGAAGGGCACTTTGCCTGCCGTCTCCGCCTCCTCCTCCTCTAATTCCAATTCCAAAGTTCAATAGAAGTTTTTTTGTTTTGCTACCAACACGCACGACTCTTGACATTTTCTTTTACCCGATAAGTGGAAGTGGCTGCCAGGGGTCCCCTCCGCACACCAATTTCCATTTATCCTCACTCTATTTTTATTCTTCTTCTCTTTTGTCCGTTTGTTGGCCTGTCATTTTGCCATTTTCCCAGTTTTTGTAATTAAGAGTGATTGAAAGGTCACTTCCGGAACATAGGTTGCTTTTGCCACCAGTTCCCAATTGTATCTTTTGCTCTCTCTCCTTCTTTTTTGCATATTTTTAGGCCTCTGTTTCGGTCGACCTTTGACATTTGTACTGCCAGCCATTTGTTAGATACTCGTACATATTGCTCATACGCCATGTGTCACACTCGCAGAATTGTTATCCCCGCAAAATAAATTATGGTGTGAGCAGAGCAAAGGCGAAAATGTATCTGGCATTGGCATCGCGATAATTTATCAGGCCATTAATCAAGTGGATTGCTCCGAAGACCGTAGATGCCGTTCGGATTCTGAGACGTGGGAAAATGTCGCAGAGGAAATGTTCCTACAATTTCTACATAGATTGTAAGGCGTGAGAAAAGCATTTTGATTAATGGTTTTTAAATATTTCCCTGCTTGCATGCACACATGCGAATTTTGTAATTAAATGAGTGTGGGAATGATCTGGGAAATGGGCTGAAATAAATGAATGTGGGATTCTTTTTTATAAAGAATAACTATGACCAATCTTTTCGAATCCCTTTCTTTAAATCGTGGACTTCAATCTTCGGTTTTTTCTACTGGTTTCCATTTTTTGTATACCATAAAGTTCGACAAATATTGCTAAAAATTCGAATGAAAATAATCTTTGATAATGGTCAACAAATAGATTTTCCCTTGAGTAAATTAACTGGCAAATATATTCCTTCCTTCAGCAAATTTAATGGCAAAGTTGTCCCTTTTTCTTGGCCCCAAAAACCTACCGAAATCCTGCCTCGAACCTACCCAAACCCTGCCTCTGTCCAGCCCCTATCCTGTTTCCTTTTCTCTGCGCCTGCGCCTTGCGCCACAGTCCCCGACGAAAGCTCGCTGCTATGGAGTGCTACTGCTGGCCCTCACAGTTTGAGAGCCACTGTAAGTGCTGCGAAGGGAAGAAGGAAAAAACCTTAAAAATCGGATTTTCTTCTTTACTTACGTCACAGCGGCGGGCAAAGGAGAGGGTAAAGGAGAAGCAGGCGGATGAGAGAATGGCTTTGGCTTTGGCTTTCGAGATGCCCCGAGGACTCTTTTGTGTGTGTGCTATTTTAATTTATGTTTTTATTTTTAGCCCAACATTCTCTAATATTTATGCTAATTTGGCATTTTTCGTGCGATTTCTATTTCGGTGTAAGCCAGAAGAGCCCTTCTAAGCCTTTGGTTTTGCGGCTTTGAGGTCTCTGTTCAATTAGAAATCTAATTTGGGAAAACACTCTCCTGCTGCAGATGAGTGTGGGTATTTTGAAGTGGGAATTTTCCTCACTTTCCTTTAGTTTCACTCGCATTTTTTGTCCTTACATAATTTATTGTACAAAAATTCACGTTCGCATGGCAACACAGACACACAGGAAAAAACCAAAACTCGAGTTTGGGGCGAGGTTTTTCCGTGGCGAGAGACAAGTGGTTTTCCGTGTGTCTGTCTGTGTGTGTGTGTGTGTGTGTGTGGTGTCTCTGTTCTTTGCTTCGAACTTTTCCCATTGTTGTGCGACTGAATGTGAGAGTGTGAGTGAGTAAACGTCTCCTTCTGCACTTAACGAGCTAGTTTCCCTTGGTTTTAGTGGTCGCACTGGCCTCATGGGATTCGTTCTGTTCCGCTGGCATGATGGTGCGGTATTTGCATGTTAAGTTGTGGTTCTTTGGTTCTTAGTTTGGTTTTTTTTTTTGCTGCTGTTGTTGCTGGTTGCTCGGTGACTCAGCTGTTTGGTGTTTTTCGTGAAGCTATCCTGTAACGTATACCACCAAATCCTGTGGAAAAGGATGGACTATGTGTACCACAAGAGATAGAGTGTCTTTTGTTTGTTGGGGAACTAGATAAAGGAAACCCATTAAGTACATGGATCTTTTGCTATTAAATGCTATCATCGTTTTGAAACTATTAAAGTTTTGTAATAAGAAAGTATAAATTATGATATGATAGAATGATAACTGGCTACCCGACAGAAGACAGAGTTTTCAGCGAAAGCATTCCTGACTTGAAGATATTTCAAGGAAAATGCTTTGATGATTGACAATGATGATGACAATGGGGACATTCCGTGTCTAAAGTACCAACCAGGACTTTCGGATGAGCGGAATATTCAATATTTTAGTCCCTTTTCAATTTGGGCACTTTATAGAAGATGAGCACATTTCATCATTAACTTTGAAGATATCTCTGCATCTTCTGCCTTTGAAGAACAAT